AAATCAAACACATTCTAATTTCTAATAAGGTTTTCTCCAATCTCTAGTACCAATTAGATGTGATTAAGTGCAAACTTAACTTAAACCCCAATTGGGGAAGTAAGTTTTTTCTAAGAACTATTTTACTGATAACTGAAGAAAAAATAATCTCATCTCTCCCAAATACCCTCCAAAGTTTCAAGCTTTCATTTAATACGACTTATTGGCTATACAGCTAAAACAGGACTGGAAAATGGTGACAAAAGTGAATAACACTAGCAGAGTCAGACCTGAGAAGAATACTAGAACAGAATCCATTTGAGCCTGAACACAAATTCATCATAAACCAACCAGTTGCCTATTGGATCCTATTCATCTGAACATCAGCCTAAATTAACCTTAAGACTAATTGGGACTTATCCAAAACTGTGGACATATATTCTGTCCATAACTAAGGAATTGGAATAGAAGATTCGAAACATTCTTGCAATAATATATATTTAGGTACATTTTAAGAATAGTAATCTTAGCATTCTCAGAAAATACTTGAGCAGATTTAAATATTTTTTTCTCTTCTATCTAATTTTACTCCTAAAGGTTTAGATGTTTCAGAGTGATTCAGTGGAAAAACATAAATAGTAGTTTCTCTTTCATAGTTCATTCATTTGCATTATGTATTATTAAGATATATACCTTACTAGTTAATATTTATGGCATACCCACTTTGTACTTAAACACACTCTAACCCTCACCAATTCTGAAGACTGATATTATCAACAACATTTTACATGAAACCGAAGCACAGAACAGATTAAAATAACTTGCCCCAACTAACACAGCAAGTAAGTGTCGAAGCCAAAACTTCAACTCAGGTCTGACTCAAAAACTCACACTTTTTCCAAAACTGGAAAGTGAAATGGGATAAAATTTTTTAAAAAAGATAATCCTCAAGAAGACATTATATGATATAATAATACAAATATATACATCCTTTTAATAAAACAAAAGCTGAACATATCAAAGGAATCTTTCATTTTATACTCTCATATTTTTTGAAACAATAGACYGAACTTCCCCTTACTAATAAGAACTATTATAAAATTTCATTCTTTCATTTGACCTTTTTCTTTTATCAAAGCACAAATATAGCCTACTGAAAACATGCCTCATATCAATTTCAACATCTTAAGATAGCAGAGACTTTTTTGTGTTTGTGGTGCTAGGGATTAAACCCAGGGCCTTGTGCATGCGAGGCAAGCACTCTACCAGCTGAGCTATATCGCCAGCCCAGCACAGAAATTTTAATACATTCTCTCAAAGCAATTTAAAAGTTACCCAAAAACTGAAATATTGTAAAAGAGAAACAAAGAACATAAAACAGAAAGCATACGAAATAAGTGCAGTGAGATGAAGAGWATCCCTCATAAATTCATGTCAACCTCGAAACTCAGAATGTTATCTTAATTGGAAATAGGTCTTTACAGATATAATTACTTAAGGGTCTCAATATGAAATCATTCTGGATTTAGGATGAGCCCTATTACCTAATGACTGGTGTCCTTATAAGAGAGAACACAAACACAGACACAAAAGGTAGCCATGTGACCACAAAAGCAGAGACTGGAGTTATGCTACCATAAGTCAAGGAAGAGCAGGAGCCACCAGAAGCTGGAAGAGGCAAGACGCAGACTCTCCACTAGTGTCTTGCCTTGTGAGGGAATGTGGCCCTACTAACCCCTTGATTTCAGACTTCTGACCTTAGATTTYGAGAGAATAATCTTCTGTTTTAAACCATCAAGTGCACTTTGTTACTACAGCCCTAACAAACTGATTCAACCAAGTTTATCAATTTAAAAGTGCATTTTCTAATATTCACCATTAAAATTAACAAATTAACAAAAGCAATCTTTTCTGAAAACTGGCTTTCCAAACTGTTCTGGACGTGCCCAAGATTTCTTAAAYGGAACATACTACATGATGACAAGGACAAATAAATGTTCAGCTTGAATGATCATAATCACCAATTACTACCTTATGCTCACACAATGCTATCTAGCCAGAGGACTTCTTGCTCTTGGTATATTACATTCCTGCTCCGGTGGTTTACTGCCTTTTTTTTTTTTTTTTTCTTTTCTTCTCTTTTCTTTTTGGTACTGGGGATTGAACTCAGGGGTGCTTTACCACTCAGCTATGTGCCCAGCCCTTTTTGTCCTTTATTTTGAGATAAGGCCCTGCTAAGGTGCTTAAGGTCTCTCTCTAAATTGCTGAGGCTGGCTTCAAACTTGGACTCCTCCTCCCTCAGCCTTCCCAAGCTGCTGAAATTACAAACATGTGCCACTGTGCCTGGTGGTTAATGCCATTTGAAGTTGTACCCCATCCTTTGCAGCCCTATCAGGAGTCAACTCCTACCTACTCTTTTCCAACTATCTGTGTTTGATGGGCTACAATAGTCATAAAACTAAAATTATAACAGAATCTAAAGCATATTGTATAACACACCAGGACTGGAGACTATCCACAGAAAGAGATTTCCTAAGTCTGGGAAAGGATGTTTATTGTCCCTTTTGGAGGCTATGTTTATTAACAATTCTGAGAAGTCCTATAGTAAAAAAAAAAAGTCTCATAGTAAAGAAACCTGTTAAATTTTAACTTGGCTTTTCTTTTTTGGAGGGAAAAGGGGAGCCATTTGGGCATTTTATTTCTATTTGAGTATTAAGTCYCTAGAAAAAGAATCCCAAGATTTTCTCTCCTGTGTTTTCATCTTGCTTCTTTAGGGCCCATGATACCAGCYGAGGTGGTCATTACAATGAATCCAAACTGATATGCCATTTTTGAGGCAGGATAATCAGTTCCCATTATTGAGTAGCACAACAAATCTGGGGTTGATCTATCCATACTTGCTTAAACTGCCTGTGAAGTTCACAAGAATTTTCCCAGATCTGTAATCATCAATGATTTTRAATTAACCAATGTTACTAAACTTCACTATCAGTTAGAAACCAGATGATGACTCTGCAGCACTGCCTAATAAGAACCTACTGTTGGTCTCTTTTCAGCAGTGGATGATCTTGAGAGCATCAGTGAGGACATTCTTGTACACTATTATGGCAACATGAAGAGATGAATGAAAGAGCCCAATCTTAATTTGATACAAGTTTTTCTCTCTAAAATTTTGAAACAATGTCCCAGCAGTGATGGCTCTCTTTCATAGTAAGCTTTATTCCCTCCAATTATGCATTCTTCCCTTCCTTCATTCATGCCAACAAAATCTTGGTAATTTTTATAATTTGTTACATTATCCTTATTTATAGGAAAAGAAATAATTGCTTTAAACCCAATCATCAACATACTTTCAACATTAAAATTTCAGTGGCATAATACTTTTTAAAATA